CTTCTTCTTTTTTTTTTTTCTTAATTTTGTTGCACTTTGCTTTTTTTAGTTGCGATTTCCTTAATGTAGTTGCACTTTTAGATTTGTAGTTGCTGTTTGCACTTCAGGGCCACCGTAATAAATGGATAATATGCATTTGAAATAAGACATTGCAATTGTTTCTTATTTCAAATATAAATTGTCTTGTTCCATTGGCAAAGTGTCTCACTTACCTCCTCAATTAAAGGAAAAAATCACTTATTTAAGAGAAAGTAATTTTTTGCAGTGTTAGAGCAGCAGTCCATTGGCACAGCATGATAGTGGGAGCATCATGCTACACAGGTTTGCTCTCAGCGGTGGTGATGCATTGCATGATATGTGTGAAATATGGCTGCGTGCAAAAGAGTGTAAAGATCCAAAATAAATGGTTTTGTAGCTAATTTAAAAAGTCCTGCAAATGCAAAAATGAGACCAATGGTGCGTTTACATCACAAAAGTGATTCCAGTTTATGTTTTTGCCCCATTCGCATGTTGTCACTGGCTTGACATTTGTTATGTATTTAACTATAAATTCTAACCTAACACTGTAACTTAACCTCATGCCTGCTATGAGTCTATTTGAGGTGGTGAGATGTTTATTCATGTAAGGACAGTAACAGTAGAGTAAACCAGTAAAAATATATTAAATAAACTACAAGCTAAAGGATCTACACTGTTGTTCAGCTAAATATAGACACAGATGTGTTTTAGTTGCTTCTGATATTCATGATTCAACAATAAGTTTCAGCCACAAAAATGTCTCTGCTGCTCTAAATAATTGGGAGTGCGTGGATGAGGTTTGATGAGATTTGACTGACGGCTCTGCAATTTCAACAATCAGACTGCGGTTTACTCAGAGTCAGGTTGTGACTGATGATCAGATGACATCTCTTCTTTAAAAAAAAGCACAGATCAGTATGATGATTAACCAGCAGGACTTAAAAATTTCTAGAAATAGAACACTGTTGCACTTTGATGCAATGCTGTCCATCCTGATCAAACTTTTAAATGCTTTTTTTTTGTTGCTCTTGTTACATTGATTCTCTGCTCCAGCGGAAGCAGACAGTCCTGTCTCTCTGGTGTTTTCATACAGCTCTCTTCATTACATGGAGCTTATTGAAAGAGTGATAGAATAAACAGGAAATCAGTAGGAAGCAGCCCTTTCTCACATAGCGGGCCTCTTATCTTTGTAGTGCTCCCTAGCATTCATCAAGACGGCATGATTTTTAAATGAAGATTTAGAGCTCATCCATTCTCCCTTTCCTGCAGCCTCCTCTCAACCCAGCTGGCTGGACAAACAAACGTGCAATTAATGGTATTTTTAGAGTCAGTATGTTTTTAGAAGGACGCTGCCGTGTGCCACTGCGACATGTTTATTTGCTGTAACAAGTTCCCAACATTTTTGACATTTATCCTAATTCTAAATAAAAGATGACAAGGAGATCAATGCCACTTTTATCAGTTTTAAGATAGTATGTCCATTTGGTACCTTTTAAACTTTATTTATCATATATGCTCCTTATTAGGCATAAAAATTCAAAGATTAAAGCAAGGAGTTTCTGGTTATACCGTAAGTTGTAGTTTACTCCATTCAGTTCTTAATTGCATGTAAACGGATAAGCTGCAGGGTCTGATTTTAGAAAGAACTGACAGGTTGACAGCAAAATCAATTTCCTCTTCCTCTAGCAAAATAAATATATAACACTAAACAACAGCGGCATGCTCCTATTTGTAGAGACATGAATGTACTAAACCAAATGCCTGTACTGAAAAAAAAAAGCGTCTAATTTCCCGTTGTTTTTCATTAATGACGTCTCTGGGTGCTAAGATGTTAACAATCAAACAAAGTTACAGAGATTGCTACCTTAAACTCGTGCACTCGAGAGCCGTCAATGCAGCTCTGTGCTCCAACGTTGGAATAGTAGCCGTAAGCCATGTCCAAGTCTTCAGGAAATCCATCAAGTCCATGCGTGTGCTTGAACCCTGCATGCATCAGGGCGAAACGGTCATCGCCAGAGGCCCCAATCAAACTATAGACATGACCCTGAAACATATCCAACATGGAGTTTAACATCCACTCCTTAATAAGTCATTAGATGAGTAATAGAGCAAGGATGGGAAAGGTCTTAAAATATTTTCACATTGTTACTTTGATACAATCACAAACTAATAGTTGTTTTTCGGGACTGAATGCGATGGACTAACAAAGATGTTCAAGATAACATAAAAGGAGAATCAGACATTGTTTTAACATATTTTCCATTTTTAGTCCGATATCTAAATGAAAACCATAAAGGTTTGGTAGAGAACATTATGAACAACATCAATCGTGAAGAAAAAAGAACACAGCAAACAAGTCAAAGAGAAATAAGCATAGTTTGATTAAACAATATATCACATTCTGAACATAAAAGTCAAATGTGGCAAAACTGGAAACCATTATCTGCTTAAAGCGACAACCTAGGAGAGAGATGAAGGAGTTCTGCTCAGATGAGACTTGTTGGTTTGCAGGCAGAAGGTTGGGATGCAGAAAACTAACACAACACATCAGCCTGAATATACCATCCATAGTATAAAACATGTTAGTGGCAGCATCATGCTATGGGGATGCTTTTCTGCAGTAAAGCACAGGGAGGCTGGTCACAGCTAAAGAGTAGAAGGATGGAGTTGAATAAACTGGACGCCTGTTTCTGAACCCTTAGGAGAGTGGCGGCCTAGTGGTTAGGGTATAGAGCTTGGAATCCTCCCACAGGCTGCTACTCTGGATCTCTAAGCAAAGACCCTTAACCCTACACTGCTGCCCGGGCGTTGCACAAAGGCACCCCACTTCTCCGCAAGGGGATGGAATAAATGCAGAGCTTAATTTTTCCAATGTGAGATCAATAAAGGTTGATTATTAATATTATTATAGAACTGTTACATTAAAATTAGGTCCTTTTTCACACAGTATGTTTTAATTAATAGTTGGTTAAACAGAGATACAGTTTAACGCATTTTGTCTTTGCTGTTTCTCTGAAACCATCTTATAAAAATGTAGCAAAAAGGCAAGAGGGTCTCCAGCCTTGAAACGCTTTAAAAGTGCCCTTAAACACATAATTCAATTCAACGGACCACTTTTTTTCAAAATGTAAAAAAATCAAAATTTAATTATTAAAATAAAAGAAATAAGAAAAACTGATAATATAATGCAGTTCATATGAGCAAATAGAATGGAGGAGAATTAAATAGATGTAAATGAGCTGGACAAGGCTAGATTACATATGCCAGGTGATAACATCATAACATAATGAGAGCAACTTCATTCTGGGGTTCCAATTGTTTAGGAGGGGAAGAATGGAGGTGGTATAATTCATTTTTATCAGCGTCATTTTTATAGCCCTTCTTATAAAGGGTGAACTGGTTCAACAAGCGCTCCTAAAGATTGGGGCAGAGGTTCTCCTCCCAGCGCGACAATGATTCTAATCATGCAGGCTGAGCTACAATTGAATAATTTGGATCAGGGGTGCATAAGTCAAGTGCTGAGAGCTACTGCCCTCAAACTAAAAGCTGCCTGTCTTTTTAAAGGTCCCAAATTAAATGGTTTATTCTACTCATCAGCGTTTCACTTGGCTCATCAGCTAAACCAGCCTTTCATGGCTTTCGTGTGTTATGGAGAAGTATCTAAAAGCTGCAGGATTGTTCTCCATGAGAAAAAAACTTGGCATCCCTGCTTTAGATTGACACTTATTCCTAATTTAAAGTAGCCCAGTTAAAGCCCAGACCTAAATCGATCTAAAATTGAAAACAATTCACAACAAAACAATTCAAAACAAGCCAAATTTCATTTTACTTCTCAATAGTTGGCTCTGGTAACTTAGCACGTATAGATACAGTGAAAAACACTGCAACCCAGTTTGGCAGTTGCGTCATAGATTCTACCTGTTCTTGATTGGCTGGGTAACCCAGGCCAGACAGGAAGATGGTGGCCAACAACAGAGACGCTTTGTGATTTCCAAAGCAGGAGGATGCTTGCAACAGAGCCATCGATTCAGAAGGGATCTTAATTTGTTTCTCCTCCACAAGGAACTCTGAGTTAATTGTTTGCTCAAACAAAACACTTCCAAGGTTTTTCAAACCCAAATGTCCTGCAGAAGCAGATAATGTGATGAACTGTTGGATAATTACAAAATAAGATGCACTTTTAACTTCCTTGTTATGTGAATCACCTGTTTGGGTAATTCCTTCCTCTCCTTGGAGGAAATGAAATAGAGTTTTGTATTTTAGTTGTTTTTCCATGCTCCATGTCTGTGTGCATGTTGCCTTCCTGGTATCGAACTGAGTCCAATGTGTCAGGTTGTTTGAACAGACAGCTGAAATAAAGAAAAAGAAGCAACTTGTCGCCATCATTTCTCTCATTCCCTGTGCAAATGCACCTTCCATGTCAAGTTCACACAAGGTGTTTCTCTGTTGATTGTTCTAACATTACATTTTTAAGACATTTTAAAACAAATTTCACCTTTGTTGGTCAGGGACAGAAGGTGACTCTCGGCTACTTGCTGCAGAAAAGCTATCGTAAAGCCTCTTATTTCCTGACACTCCATGTGAGCCCTGTTCAGCTCCTGTGCTGCTGGCATGAGGTGAAGTTGATTTTTTATCTGGAACACGAAAAGCAATGAAGTTGAAACAGGAATAAAAAGTCATAAAAACAGAACAAACACTGTTTGTAGTTGCAGAGAGGAAATGTCACCTCATTGGTTCCAAAACGATAATACTTGAAAGGCCCGAAGTAGCCACGGATGCCTGGCATGTATCTGCCTCCTCCAATCACAAAGTATCCATCAGTGTCATCATAATGAATACTGTTCTGAAATCTGAAAGATATTCAATGACATTTAAAGTAGTAGTTCTAGGTTCAAACAAAGGTAACGTCCTTTCATTTAGTCATGTTAGAAAGAAAAGTATCTATGAAAGTTACTGGAATTTTATGAGACAAAAAATACTGCAAATTCTAAATTCAATTAAATTCAACCCTTTAAAGTAGTCTTGTTGCATATTGAAGCATTTCAATATGCTATTTAACCTTATAAAGGAAAATTCTATTCAATTCTGTTTATTTATATAGCGCCAAATTCACTCCACACGTCATCTCAAGGCCCTTTACAGTTCACACCAATCATACAATCAAATTGATTCAAAGCTTTCTATCTAAGGGAAGCCAGTTGATTGCATCGACTCATTGACTCGAAGGCAATCCCTCACAACAAGCATGCTTGTATCGACAGTGGAGAGGAAAAACTCCCTTTTAACAGGAAGAAACCTCCAGCAGAACCAGGCTCAGTGTGAGCGGCCATCTGCCGAGGCTGACTGGGGTTCAAGGAGACCGAAGCAGAGATACAAAAAGCAACTGTAAAAGGCGGCCCCATCCAGGAAACACACAGCCAAGGAGACGAGCTCCGAGCCAGCTCCCATGACAAATGAAAGGGAAGCAAACAGATGCATGATTTTCATTTTTTTTTTTTTTGATAATCTTAAAAAGTGAGTTTTTCTGTTGCAGACCTCATGGAAATATTTCATTGTTTTTTTTTCATTGAACTGAAGGCTAAAGTAACTGCTTCATGAAAGGGTTCATATATTTCTACTACTCAATGCTGCCACCACCATGCCTTACATGCCTGGTTTAGATTTATACTCTAAATAGCTCTTTGCATGTAGGCCAATAACTTTAAAGTTTGGTTTTATCTGATCAGAGCCTTTATATACGTTCGCTTTGTCCCATACATTAACGGTTGCAAACTTTAGACAAGACATCTGCTTGCTTTCTTGCCACTTTATTTAATCATGTAGCTCGCTTATCAATTTTCACTAACATTACAGATTAGTTGTATTAATACTGAGATTAAATCAGTAAATAATTTGTTTTAAAAAGGCAGTCAGGTATTAAAAGATCTTGCTTATGTGTATCAGCGTAAAGAAGGCTAAACACAAATGCACTCCACACTTTTCAGAGTTGAATTTGTAAAAACATGGTGCTATAGTTCTCTATAGTTGTAGTTTCTTCTACTTTTACAGCTATGCACCACATATTATTTATAAGAGTTAGGGTTACTAGAATCCAAATATTTGACGAAATGTTTATTTTCATTGTGATAATCGAAAAAAAGAAATGTTGTACTTAATTTATATGAAAATAGCAGGTTTTACTTACACATATTCATATTGGTGGCTCTTATCATCCCAGGTTACATTCAGCAGCACCTGAAAGTCCAACATAATAAGGTAAAAGCTAAAGCAAAAAAAGCTACTGAACTGTATACAACTTCAAATTGAAGCACAGGCTACAATTGCCTTGAATCTCCCAGTTGGAAAGAAACCATCGTTCAAGATCTTACAGCTGTTCCAGCAGGAAACAAAGCTAGGCCACCAACCAGAACACAAGAGGAAACAGATGACTGTTCAAGCTCAATTTCACTTTCCATTCCTCCTCCACCCACCCACAACGGCATGTTGGGGGGGTCTTTACCTTTGAGTCCACTATGTAACAGTCCAATCTAATCCAGTTCCACAGGGGCAACATTAGGACGGCTTTGAATGCTTCATCTTCCCCGCTTTTCAGTCGGGCCTGAATTATGATGTCTCCTACAGAGAAGATATGACAGTCATATATTTTGCCAGAGGAAATCCAAAGTTCTTTATTAATACATAACACAGTCTGTTCCTGAGTCTCACAAAACACACATCATCGCTCACGATCATCCCCTGGCTGCTCGGTCAAATCCTCCATGGCAGTACGTGTCTAAACAAGCTTCTGTGACCCACCTGTTTCTGAGAGCTGTATCAGCAGCGAGTCAAATAGATGTTTCCTGTCCACATGATGGACGATCCCACAGAGGTTTTTCTGACACCATTTTAGCAGGTAGATCCACACGGAGAAGGTGACGCTGAAAAAAATCCCAGGCAATAGGGCATGAAAGGACAAATCATTTATTTTACCCAGTCAGGCATCAGGTTGGATTTAAAGCGCTGAGCTTGTCTCCAAAAAAATAAATAACAGAAGAAAAAAAAAAACCGCCTGACCTTGCTGTCCTGCACTGACCGTAAATAAAAAGCTTATATGCTTGGGTGAAGAAGCTTGGCGAAGCTCATAAACTCATTTATAAAGATGGCGAATTAATACTGAAAGCTAGGAGAGCTTTAACAGACGCTGAAAGAGAAACAGCCACTGACCTGTGGCAGTCGACCTGCTCTGCTTTCAACACAAACCACTACATTAAAAACTGCCATCATTGAAGTGTGACTCAGTGAGCATCCTCACAGTGTTTAACATGGTAAAAGCTTGCTTTTTGAGCTTTTGGCACAATATGTGCAGACGCAGCAGGGGATTTCATTGCCTGCTGTGTGGGTGAACCTTACAGGGAACAAGCCTGAGCTAAAATGAGGTAAATTAGGAGTCAGTGACTGAAGCCCACCTGGGCTCTGTTACAGCATGAAGACGGGCTCTCTCCAGGGCTTCGTTGATGAAAGGCTGGAACCTACGGACCACCCCGAAGTGCTCTCCAGTGCTTGCCAGAGGGAATTTTAGCATATCTATCACGTCTGCAGAAACAGAAAAATTTAAAGGCACTGAAGAAACAGTTGGTAATATACACCCTCCAAGAAAAAATATGTCCAATTGCAAATGGCTTAGGTTAAAAGCTCTAAGAAGTAGCATCATGCTTTGATTTATAGAAATTCGTGAAGAGAAGTGAATCAAAGTACTGTAATTAATCCCTCTAAGCCATCAGAGAACCGCACTTAAAGCAAATAGATTGATTATACAATATTTCCACTTAGTAGAACATTGACATGCTCAATACTTACATTTTTTCCACTGTACAGGTAATTTGTTGAAGGAAAATGACAGAATGATTAAGGGTCTTACCTGACTCATGTGGGCACTGATGGATTCTGCTGCTGGACATCAGCCACATGAGTTGAGCAGACCATGACGGGCATCCAGCAGAGGCTGTTCTCCGCCACAAGGAAAGCTGCACGACCTGCTGCACTTTATAGATCCTCAACATGGAGCCGATTTCACTGCCATTTTTTAAATAATCCAACCATGCTTGAAGCGTCAGGTTCTGGGAGTCTAACGTGTGCCTTTGGAAAACACTGCTGTGATGGGACACAGATTGCGGCAGTCTGAGTAACACCTGCTGGACCCTGAGTACTCGAGGTTTGCTGCTGATCCATTTTCTCCTGAAGACCACCAAATCTGTCTTTCTTAATGCTGACAACACAACTTCCACTACGAGCTGACATGGCCTGGAGCACTGATACCGCACACGGACCACTGAACCATCTGCCACTTTGTCAGGGACTGAGTCAAACTCTATGAAACTGTCAGCTGTGGTGATGTTGCTCTGGGTTGAAGTAGCTTGTAACACACATGGTTCCTGGAGGAAGTTAGATGAAAAGGAAATGAAGAGATACATAAAGAGAAACAAAACAATTTTTTTTATCTAACTTCATTTAAAATAAGAGAAAACATACTGTATATCAAAAGATCTGCAGCTCTATTCAGAATCTACGTGACAGGTTTGGCTAGTTCTAATTAACCCACTATGTTGGCCTAGTTGGTTTGAGCACTGCGCTTGTGCTCTGAGAAGGTTGCAAGTGCCACACCAAAGAAAAACACCAAAAAAGAAAAATCAGAATTTTCTGCAGAGGAAACGCACATGCACACAAAAAGTAAAAAAGCTAACCTTTAATTTGGGCACATTTACTGAGCAGATTAAAACAGATTTGATGTCAAGGAAATCTTGTTTTCAATGACATCATGGAATAAAATAATTCAGCTGAAACTATTTTATGTTTATTATTCTTCATCTCCTTTAATATGTTTCTAACCATGACTATTTTCTTCCCCGCACTATAATAGGAAAAAATGCATCTTTATAGCTTGTGTTGACCAGGTCTCCATAACAACCATTTGATCAAAACTTATATCCGTTGGTCATTATTAAGTTGAAAAATGTTTTAATGGCCCTAATATCACACATATATAAACATCTTTAGATTTGCTGTGAGCCAGTTTCTCTTCAAAAAAACACCCAGGGAACCTAATGAGAGGTTATGGCGCCAAGAACTCTGAAAAACCAAAGGTTTTCATAAATCACTAGAAATGGAGCATCTATAAGTATGGCTGGAATAAAAGGGAAAGAGTTCACCAGGCTGCGATCGACTGGCGACCTGTCCAGGGTGTACCCCGCCTCTCGCCCGTAGACAGGTGGAGATAGGCACCAGCACCCCTCACTACCCCGTTTGCAATAGGAATGACAGAAAATGGATGGATGGATGGATGGATGGATGGATGGATGGATGGATGGATGGATGGATGGATGGATGGATGGATGGAGTTCACCAGGCACTAAACAAACATTTTTCCACAAATACTTTTCGTTTCCACAACAAAAAGTGGTCCAAGGAAGCTGAGCTAAATCTTGTAGAAAACCCATAGGGTGAACTAAATTAACTCGACCAAGAGTCTTCAATTTCAGTCCTTAAGTCCAATGTCCTGCACCTGATCAAGTGACTTAATCTCCCCCTAATCATTCAGTCAAGTTCCCTGGAGTTCTGCTAGTTTGATTCAGGTGTGTTGAAGCAGAGACACACCTAAAAGGTGCAGGGCAGGACGGCAACCAACAAGAACTGAAACTTAAGACCTTTGAACTAATGTCTGATGAAAAACTATCAATCAAACCTCTTTGTATGCCCTATGTATGATCAACACTTGCAGGCTTTTTTTTTCTCTCCTGTTACTCTGCCTTCCCCACACTCTAGAGCAGGCATCCCCAACCTCGGTCCTCGAGGCCCGCTGTCCTGCAGGGTTTAGAGTTTTCCCTGCTTTAGCACAGCTGATTATAATGATTGCAGTAGACCAAAAGCCTGTTAATCAGCTTTCAATTAAAACTCTAGAGGAGTGACTGGTAGGTCAACTGGATACTGTTTTCTTATGCCACGCTATGATAAACCATTGGCAACCTGTTGGATGACCCGGATCTCTTGTCTTCAATGACTGCTGGAAATCTGCATCACCCCTTCCTGACGCCTAAAGGATAACCTGTGCTGTGTCCAAATGTACGCACTGATCACTGATCCGAACGTCTAGTGGATTAAAAATTAATGGACTTGAAATTTCCCTCAATGCACCTTTAAAAATAATGATCATCCATGGTCACTGGAGGAGCAGATATATATTCCAAATTGTTTTAGGCGGAGGTAGGGCTGGGTATTGTTCAAAAATTTTCGGTTCCGGTACCAATACCCATACCTTCACTTCGATACAGGTTCCTGAACGATACTTTTTTTGATACCAGTTTTATAATATCAATTCGAAGAAAAAGAAAATTACACAACATAAAAAAGTACAAATCTTGAGTTTTATTTTAAGCTCTGATTTTTCCATTTACATTTTTCCTCTTACATAAAAAAAAATAATAATTCAGTGTCTAATATTCACTGTTACATTGTGAGGACCTTTTTACTTAGCAGTTTTCCTTTAGAAAAATTACCATGTCTGACAAACAAGAATGGGATCCTACTGACAGCGCACCGCTGGTATGTGGGGGTCTGAGCGGCTCCGACAGAAATATTGGAAGGCAGGATGAACTGACTGCAGAGATTAAGTTTTCAGGTGGATTTTCCCACTTAAAAAACATAATAAAACTACTTTATTCCCACTGATCACAGCAAATATAGCTGCAAGGCAAAGAAAGGATAGAGTAGCTCCGCCCAACGCGCGTCAGAGCCACTTTTCGACCGCGCAGCCAGAGCAGCAAAGCTGCTTCAGCTGCGCGTCAGAAGCTGGTAGAAGCAGCAAAAAGGAAGCAGCAGACGTAATTTTGCTGCTTCTGCTGCGTCCAGTTTGAAAGCAGCATGATTCACTCCGCTCTGGCTTTGCTCTGCCCACGGGCTGCTGAGAGGAGGATGGTCGCGCCGGCTGCGGTCCGCTCTTCTTGCAGTCAAACACCGAGCAACTTTCTGCTGTTAAATTGTTTCTGTGCACGATGTATTGCATTGCGCACTATTGGCATCAGTCTTAATAAAGTGAAGCCGCACTTTTGACCTGGGGGGCATTTTAAAGGGGTTCCACAGCACTCACAACCAGTTCACAACAGATACACATGAACCCTGGCTGTAGGCGTGACCACCTGTGTTTTTTTCCTGGATGATGCAATCACGTTAAGTGTTACAGCCAATCACCGAAACTTGGTACCGAAAGACGAGGCATGTTTCGATACTCTGTAGAACCGAAGCATTTCGGTCGGTACCATAAAGGAACCGAAGTTCGGTACCCAGCCCTAGGCGGAGGGCTCTACTTGCAAAGAATTGTGGGATGTGTTGTCACGGCGGACCCCTGTCGCCATAGGCTCTCTCTACCTGAAAACGGCGTCTAATAGCGCAAAGCAGCATGCGGTGGAGGCGGAGTAAAGTGTCCAACCGGGAGCAAGTAGTGATCATCTGTTCGAACGGTAAGTTACCTGAGTCCACTACTGTATATAGTCCCGCTCTATATAGTTATTGGGGATGTGGGGGTTAGGGCAGACATTCAGACACAGCCCAGGTATAGATGACAGACTGACGGAAGCTCTGATCGTTTCAGCTGTTAAAGAATATCACAAGCTGTCCTATGTGTGAAAGGTAACTATGCAAATTATTGACAGCTGGGAAAACCAGCAATTTTGCTTCTGGTGATTTTATAAAAGCATCTTTTTGACATGGTATTTTATTTCACCACGAAGTACATTGTTTTTCTCTCAAATTTACAATGTGAGTGTAGGCTAATACCACACAATTATGATATATTTACAGTATTTTTGCTAATAATTTAGAGGAATGAAAACAAAAACTCCCCACTAAGTAGATCAGATACCTACTAACAAAGTTTTTTGTTTATTTTTCTCTTGGGCAGCTTCCTCCTATAATGTGGATGCAGTGAACCAAAACATAATTTGTTTAGAAAAAAAATTAAAAGTTACATAAAACATATTTTTTAAACTACATAGATTTAGCAATACTGAAGCAAGTATGTGCGTTTAATGTGAGTTTATTATAATTAAGTGCCTGAACTTGCATGACCCTTATTTAATTACTTAGGACTAAATAGAAAATGAATAAACACTCAGAGCTGCTTTAAAGATATATAACATGTTTGTGAAGAAACAGATGAAATCTAATTATGGTTGCATATATGACGTCTAACGTCAGGGTATCAAGGTTAGATAAAGTTGCTTACCAATAAAACACAGGCAGTGAAGACGTATCCAAAAATGATGGTTTGAAACCAGTTCATTGTGAAAGGGGGTTTCAGCAAAGCAGGACATTAAAAATGATTATTTCACCTTTGATCTGGCCTCCTCTCACTGTGGTTCACCTGCCTGTTGCTTCTCAAACTAACAGCAGTTGTGTGAGCGTAGGCCTTGTAAAATGTGGCACTTCCTGATATTCCGGTCTAGCAGGTTCAGCATGAATTACCTTTAAAGGGCTAGAGCCGTGCTGAAAATGGCTCATCTGTGCTGTGTAACCACAACCTTTCACACTGACATTGTGTGTTACTCTAACAGGCATTTGATCCATGGGACTGCTGCTTCAAAGAGTCGAAGTTAATTTGAAGTTCTCGAGCCAAGACTTCAACATTACCTCATGCTCTCTTTGGCCTACGCCCCCACAGGACTTTGAAGTGATTTGATTTGAAAAACAACCTGATATCACAGCCAAAATTAATTACCCATGGGCTATTGACTTTATACGTTTCAAAGAGAATGAAACATTGGTAATGATGCCGAGGGGTTGCTTGAGTGACCACACAGAAACATGAGCCCGACCTTCTTGTCTATTTAAACGATGATTACTGCCAGGCTTAAGATGTACAGTCTCTGTTAGACAGCTGACGTTTCACAGAGGGTTTCAAAGCAGTAAGGACTTAATTTGAAAGAAAACTTTTGAGGCATTTGGAACCATAGAAAGTTTTATTCAATGGCTCTGCAGGACCTGTGCCGTTTCGCTGACATCTTTCAAGAAGGCGTATCTACTGTTAGAAATTTAACATCAGCTGTGAAAGAAGAAACTTCTAGCTATGTAACTGGTACGGCCTTTAGAAGTCCAACCAGCCTGTTCCATTTCTATGTACCAGTGGCAGATTATCTGGATGAAAACCCAATACAGTTTGGACAAATCAGCAAAATGCAGAGAGCAAGTGGGATCCTATCCCATGAATCGCTCTCGTCACCCTCCTCCTTGCCTGCAAGTCTTCCTTTCACTTCCTCCCAGTCCGTACCTCTTCCCTTCCCCATGGCCCATGGGACAACCACCCTAGCTTTCATGTTTCAGGGGGGCGTCCTGGCTGCGGCAGACACACGCTCCAGCTGCTCCGGCCTAGTGGCGTGTCCAGCCTCCCAGAAGATCCTGCCCATTCACAGCCACCTGGTGGGCACCACCTCAGGAACGTCGGCCGACTGTGCTCTTTGGAAACGCATTCTTTCAAGAGAGCTGCGGCTGTACCAGCTTCGCCACGGACGCCGGTTAAGCACCAGGGGTGCGGCCAAACTGCTTTCTCACATGTTGCACCCTTTTAAGGGGACTGAACTCTGCGTGGCAGCAACACTGTGTGGGTGGGATGGAGGCGAGCTGGATGATGGATGTCATGACCCAAAAGACTCAGAGACTGATCAGAGTGAAGGCGGAGAAACTACAAAGACTGACCTGGAAATGGCTGTAGGTGCCCCCAATGAAAAGGTTTCTCTGTCAAAGACTCAAAGCCCTTCAAACACCAAGCTACAATGTTACAAGAAAAAAAAAAGTTTCTCTGGACCAAGTCTGTTTTATGTATACAGTGATGGAACTCGCCTAGAGGGATCACTCTTCTCTGTGGGCTCAGGATCACCCTACGCCTACTCCATCTTGGACCAAGGTGTTCGCTGGGGTCTGACAGTGGAAGAGGCTACATCAATAGCAAGAGAGGCTGTGTACAGAGCCACCCACAGGGATGCATACTCCGGGAACTTTGTGGACATCTATCACGTCACCTCAAAAGGGTGGACTCGCAGGACGCGTGAAGACTTGAAGGAGGAGTATTACAGAGAAAAGGAGAGGAGAAGACTTGAGAGCGAAAGACGACGCATGATCTCGTCAGAGTAAAGCAGACAAAGGGAAACGTCTGGAGAAAAGAAAAGCAAACATCAGGGCGTAGTTCGCAGAGACAAGGCTGCATCTTTGGAGCAAATACTAAATTAATGAACACGACAGGCAGTTGCATCCTCCAGGCTATCTCTCAAAAGATAGGGGCATGCATATCATCCCATTTAATAAACAGCTGATGTTTTGTTTGCACTGTGATAAAAAGTGCTCTAACAGCATCAAGGCACTGCTGGCTGCCATTTTGATGTAGATGTTAAATGATTATAAATCATTTCATCTGAGATAATTACCACCTACCCCTTAATGTGCTTTAATCACATAAACAAGAACGATAGGAGACAATGAGTAGTGTGAGGATTTCAAAGTTGAAGCTCATGATGTATTCTTGTGTGTGGGGAAACACATTAACTGCAGCAATAAAGGAGCAGCAGCTGAAATCTGATTTGTGCCCACTGTCAGAACACTTCTGAATTTTCTCTGACGCGTCAATAAATTAATGAATAAATGAGATTTGGCTGAACTTGCCTGTTCATTTTGTGAGAAAGCTGTGCTCATAAATAGAACTTATTATTCAAATGACAATGACTCTGCAGAAGGATGGTGAGAGGAAGGGAGCAGTTAATCTCAGCCTAAAGCCACACCTTTCTGAATCTTTGTAAAATAGTGGCATGGAAGTTACTACATGGGAGGTTTTTAATAGCATGCTTAAATATGTGTTTTCTCAAGAATGTGTGATAAGCTGATATGTGGAATTATGACATATGGTGTGTGGCAGAGATTTAAATGGCTACATATATGTATGTGTGCAGTCAGTGTGTCTATATGCTATTAACGGAATAAAATAAATCAGACACAATGATCTCTGGCGGCAACATCAGCAGAGATATGCCCTCTAACCAATCTCTGGTTGGATCTGAGAGACTAAATAGGGAAGGAATCTCTTATTCAACCATCTGATCTAAGATCTCCATCTTTGGAAGACAGAATTAGTGTGGAAAAAGAGAAGAGTGTTTTTCAAAAGAGCTCATGTTTGTTGATTTTTATTTTCTGTCTGATTTTGTCTTTTGTTTGTGCAAACAGAGCCAGTGTCTCACCATAATTTATTATGGTTATGTGATAAAAACTCTTTATCCTCCATGAAGACTCTTGATTACAACCAAAAACTACACCCCTAACAGGGCAGCTATCTGTTATGTTTTACACAAATCTGGCCATTGTTTAAAGAGAGCCCGAGGAGGCTCTATGTAAAGCTACCTACACATAAATTTCAAGGTATAAGACAAACAGAATCAATTTATATACAAAAAATTGATCCAATCAAATAAATAAAAAAGGATCTGCATTCCACTAATAAAGACTAATTCAACAGTGTTTAAAAGTTTTAAATTATTTCATGATCTAGGCGCTTATGACCAGGCTTCATTACTCATTTCATTCACCTGCTTTTCTCCGCCCATTTCTCATTATCACTAATCTCATCCACCTGCTCCAGCCTCTATTTATTTTGCCTCCAGTCATCATTGTCAGATTATCTGAGCACTTGGTGAGAGTCTTCTATCAAATCTTAGTGTTTTCTTTTTGCCTGATCCTGACCCGTTCTGCCTTTGGACCTTTCAGCCTGCTTGGACTTCTGCTAATTTCTCCCTGTTTACTGAACCTGGAACTGATTCCTGACACTGTGCTGGATTTCCCTTTAGTACCTCTTCAGATCTCTGATCTTCTGGCCCGGATTCCTGAGCACCTCCTCGACACTGATCATCCTGTCCTATTATATAAAACTGTAACTGGAGCGTGTAACAAAAATAATTTCCCTCTGGGATTATTAAAGTATTTCTGATTCTGATTGTCTGGCCAGATCTGATCTCCTGCCTGTTTTCTGACCTATGGAACTTCAATGTCTGGGACTCTATGGGAAGCGTCCGCCGCTTCTTGTCAGCGGCCGACCAGCCGAAACAAACCTCATCCTCTGGTCACGGACTGAACTTTAAGACCAGGTTGGGGACTTACACGTTCATTGTCATCCAAATAGACGTGGTCACTAACCTGTGTTCTCTTCCTGCCTTAGATGCCCTTGCTGTTCAATGCAGATCCGTCACTTGAAATAAGCCCTTTTTTGAGATATCAAAACTTCTGTCTGCTTTGAAAACTGGGTCCTCTACTCTGAGCCTTGACAAATATTATGAAACCTATGCTAGTATCATGAAGTCTTTGAGTTTGCAGTAATAACTCTATGTGAGTTAGTATATGGTGACATGAGAAAGGATTGTTCAGTGGTAATTCAATCTGAAAACCTCACATGGAAAGAAAAAGAAAATTAGAAGAATCTTATTGAAACAATTATTTTAGTCTTTGGCGCTCATACCTCATTAGCCAACATTACCTCTGAATTTTGTTTGATATGCATGAATAGGAGTAAAGAACAGGGATGTTTCCCTCTAGGCCTGACAGTGATGGTGGAGTGGAGATTGATGAAGTTGGTCATTCCATGACAGCTGGTTGGCGAGACGGTATGATGAACATTATGGGGAGATCCATTGGACTGCGTGAGCTGATACTAGTTCTTCAATCAGGTACCTGAAAGATGGAAGTCCAGCTTGAATAACACAGGTTGTGTGAACCTGTCCATGGATGGACAGGTTCACACAACCTCCAGCCTCTTCTCCACCATCGTAGCTACGATGCTACGCGCTTGTATAAAACAATGCTTGTATAAAACAAAAAGAAGCTACGTTAGCTACGATGGTGGAGAAGAGGCTGGAGGTGGGTTAAATTGGGGTTATCTGAATCAAAGTCAGATATAGCGCAACAACTGCCTTTGTTTGGGAAGCAGACTGAGTGTTGGATTTGGAGACCTTTTAAGATGAACTCTGGATGCTGATAGGGCTTTAGTGGAGGTGTGGTTCAAAGCTGATTAGCTTGTGTTGGAGGGTAAGTAATCAGTTTCTCCAGCTGAACTTCCACCAAGGCTTCATTAGGATGGCAGAGAGAGATGGAACCAGTTAGAAATGGGAGAGAGAGATGGAACCAGTTAGAAATGGGAGAGAGAGATGGAACCAGTTAGAAATGTTCAGAACTTGAGACTGCAGTGGAGGTCCACCTTTTAGCCAAAACAAAATGGTTTAGTTTGAGGTAATATAATTTGTCTGAAACGGTCCACTCAAAGTCCAAACCAAAATCCAAATTATCATCTGTTACAAGAATTGAAAGCTAAAGTTCACACCTCCTCTACATCCAATCTGAACTGAAAACATTATGATGCAAAGGAAC